ATGACTGGTCATCAGTGAACGAGTAAACGTTAATCAGAGATTTGCGCCCTCGATAGGGAGGTTGTCGGGCGAAGCTATTACTGTTCTAGCGTAAGTCGAATGAATCTCGTCGGAACTTCGTCCCCACCGCGAATCGTCTGGAACTTTGAAGTCGCAAAGCCGCGGACTCGATTAGGCCAGCTCAAGTTCATCTTCATCTTCCTCTCCCGCGACAGAGACGTTCGTTGTATAGTAACGTTCTCGCAAACGAATCGATTCCTTATATCACGTCGAATATAAAAGGGCACGAGAATTCGCGATTCCAGAAAGAATCGCGAATAATTCGCGAAGAAAACACGCCATCGCTACGAGCCTGCCATTTTGTCTCGGGTGCAGCAATTACCGAGGTTGCATTGCGACGCTCGCCCGCAACGCGCATGTCCTCGAGGATAAAAGGGTTAAAAGGCTTCCCTTCCTCTAAGCGAGGAGGGCAGGTCTTTGGGGGTAGCTCGGGAGACGGGCCATTTCTATTACGTCCATTTCTCGCGTACGCCGCGGCCTGCCGACGAGCGTGTCGCGGTTGAGAAAAGCGCGTTACGCGGATCTTTGACCGCGCCGGCACCGCATATTTCTCATTAAGCCTCCTCCCCCCCTCCACCCTCTCGTCATCCCGACTCGCTCACCCCGCGCGACGCGCTACCACCCCACACGCGCGCCCCTTGGGACGCGCAACCCTTTTTTTCTTTTCTCTTCGACCACCACGTCGACGATGATGAAAAAAGCGATCCGGGTGGTGAGGCGCGCGGGACAGGGGACGGTCGCGTGCGTTTTCCGCGTGCCGCGGCGAGACGTGGCGAAACAAGCTCGTGGAAGCGGCAGGAAAAAGTTTTCACGGAGAGCCGAGACAATGCGCAGCGGCGCAGCTGGTTAAACGCGGAAGGGTTGCCGATTAGCATAAAAGGGCACGATTACACGAGCGCGGGGCGGAATCGGATCATGCCGGGCTGGGCTGGCTGGCTTGCCCAAGGCAAAACGATAGGCTCGTTTTTTGCTCGCTGAAATTACGTGTATGCGACAGTGAGTGGCTCGCTCCTGCACAATGCGTGCACGCGAGAAACGAGACGAACCCTTTTAGCGAATGGTAGAAGCGCGGGGCATTTGTTTTGTACGTAAGAGCATAAAGCGAAAGCGTAATCTCACGTTTGTTTGAATGATTGTTTTTGCTTTTATTGCGAAGCAATTGCTTTTGACACCTCGAAATACCATCTCGCTGGAAAACGGCGCTACCAAATTACGATACTTACGCAACTCTTTACTTTTTGTTGCTCTTGCCTGTTTTCTTTTAAGTTTTTTATTTGCAAAATTAATTTAAATATATCTTTCCTTATTTTTCTCGAAACGTTTACTATGATCGCGTATAATGTTATAGCGTTGTATTAGTAACATGTGACATCTTTTTATTGATAATTACATATATTTTAAATAAATAAAATTACGCACTGTTACGTGACAAATCGTAAGATAATCGTTAAGTGATTTATCGATAACCGATAGACTTGTTAGTGCACGTGTGGCGCTATATACGATGGTTGAAATTATTTACCGGAAAACCACCGAGAATCTCCTCGCTGTATTGGAAGATAAATCAAACGGGAGGATACGAGTGTACGACCAAATGTGCGTGCTGAGTTGATCGAAAATAGCAAAGAGGGTAACCGAAAAATTGTCGATGGAGTTATAAAAGTGGGTTCCGTGGCCTTTCGCCGCCTCTCCCTTATGTCCCCTTATGTGTCCCAGGCTACAAAAAAAAAATTAGACGCGGGGTCGCCAGCCCCGAAACACGAACAACAATGCATTATTTATTTGTCGACGTTCGGATGGCACTGCGTCGGCACGCGCGCGTCTTGCTTTCAAAAGCTAAATTTAGGTTTAATTAATATCATATATTTTATCAATAATTAAACAATTACATCAATGAATAAAAATTAGAGCCGCAGTATAGTATAATACGCATTATCGTATAATTTTTTATCCGAAACGCATATGTCTTAGAAGTAAAGTCAAGAAGAAAAGTATGATAAATTTCGAGACGTAAAAATAGTTAATGTGATAAGAGAACTTATGGTGTTCCATGCAAAAAGTCATATTGTAATAAGTCATTAACGATGTTATAATAGTCAGAGATGCAAAGAACAAGTGCACACTGTGGATGGCCTAATGTCGAGCCTAATGTTCAGGCCGAAACGTTTGTTAAGTTGTCATTGACTTAATTAAATATTATCACACTAACATCTTATTACGGCTGTGTGCTCTTTATTTATTTATTGATTTTGAATCATTTGAGCCTTATATAATTATCATATTTTATAATAACTTTTAGAGGACGGGCAGGTTTCTTCGTGACTTTTTATGATTTTTACCTATAACTTTCATATATGTGTATTAAAGTGTTTTACTACGAAAAATAAGCGACCCCTGTGGAGTCAAAAAATAGGCTTCCCGTCCGGTAGGTTGACAAAAGTGGAAAATTTGCATAAAACATTTATATGATTGTAAATTTCAAAAAAATTATTATTTATAATAAATTTCTTTCGCCAGTATATAGAATAACAATTAAAGTAATT